ACCTTAGGCGGCACATTCATCTGCCACAGTTTCTTCCACATGGCCGAGTCCCCCACCATCGGCAGACCCTTTGTTTCACGTACATCCTCCAACAATTTCCTGTAGCCTTCCTTCGTCATATATCTCCCGTCCCTACTAGATGCCCAGATTAACTTGTCCACCTCGTCCACGTTTCGTAGAGGGATTTGACGTATCACATAAGTCATGTCTCGAGTGAAGCAGCTATCGATGAGGGTGTTATCCCACTGATTAGTGGTTTCGTCAATTAACTCCCTCACCGTCGAGTCCACTCCAAACCCATAGGCACCGACTTCACAATGTATCCTGGGGTCATAGGCAACCAAAGATCCCCCCCCCCCCCCCCCCCCCCCCCCCCCAAAATTCAAACCAAAGAACCGTTCCTGATCCGCCATCTCATTCCACTAACCAAAAATTCATGAGCACTCATGAGACTACGCCAAACATAACTCGGTTTGTACCCAACACGTGCATCCATCAGCAAAGTATTCTTATGATACTTTGCTCGGAGGATTCAAGCAATCAACTATCCTGACCCCTGATATAAGCTCCAAAGTTGGCACGCTAGGAGTTCCTGATTAAAACCTCGGAGGTCCCGGAAACCCATTCCCCGCTCAGATTTTGAGGAGATCAAAGATTCACGCACCACCCATGGTATTTTCTACTCATCTCCCTTCTATCCCCACCAGAATCTGGTGATCATCCCATGGATATCGTCAATAATCCCATTTGGTACCTTAAACACTGACATAGTGTAGGTCAGTTGTGCCTATGCGACCAACTTAATTAAAACTTCCCTCGTCGCTACTGACATAACTCTCTCCTTCCACCCTGCAAGCTTCTTACAGAAACGTTCTTTCAAATATACAAATAACTCCTTAGACCGACCCACCTCTGTTACCAATCCCAAATATTTATCATGCTTCTCCACCGCCTTCATACCCAAAATTGAGCTAACCTGTAACCGCTAATGTGGTTTTACCTTGGAGCCAAAACTTACTTCTGACTTTTCAAAACTCGGCAATTGGCCTGATTCCCTCTCATAGTCCGTCAATATCTTTCATAGGTATTTGCTTTCCTGTACTGTGGCCCTAGCAAAAAAGATAGAGCCGTCAACGAAAAATAGGTGGGATACCACGGGGGCTCTCCTTCCCACTAACAGTCCATGGATATGCCTCTCTGCCACCGCCTTCGACGTGTAAGTCGACAAACCTTCCGCCAACAATAGAAACAACTATGGTGATAGAGGGTCCCCTGTCTTAGTTCACGGCTCGTAACAATCACATCTGACTTGGGCCCATTCACCAGAACTGCATAAGGAACTGATTGGACACATAACATAATCATCCAAATCTAGCACTTTGCAAAACCCAACTGCCACATTATCTCCTCGAGAAACCACCACCCGACCCTATTGTCGGCTTTATCCATGTCTGTCTTTGCTTCAAAGTAACCCGTATTGGCCTTTGTCTTCTTCTTCATGTATGGAAGCATTTAAAGGAAGCCATGACATTGTCTGGGATGAATCTTCCCGGAACAAAAGCATTATGCTCCTATGAGATAATCCCACCAAGAAGTCCCTTCAATCGGTTCGCCAAAGCCTTCGACAAGATCTTGTAGAGGATGTTGCATAAACTAATTAGAGGAAACTCCTTTGCCATTATCAGGTCTTTTGTCTTTGGGATCATGGCAACTAAGGTATGGTTAAGTCCCTGTGGCATAGACTCAGTTTCGAGTTTCGAAAAGGTGCACGATCAAATTCGTAACTTCATCACCTACTATATGCCAATATCTCGGGAAAAATAACACTGAAAAACCATCATCACCTGGCGCCTTCCCCTTACCCATCTGGGGTAGAGCATAATACAACTTATCCCTCAAAAGAGCACGAGACAGCGCCTCGTTATGCCTTGAGCTAACTCTCCGATCGATGGCGTCAAGAACGAGGGTTTGCATGGGTCTCTCACCTTGCATGAAACAACGTAGCAAAATAATGGGTTAGACACACACCATAGCCTATCCATTCCAAGCTTCATCAATAACACGCTCACAATCATAGTGTTTTACCCACAAAGCCTCAAAGTGAAACGACCAACCCCATTTCACCTCTTCATCCTCTTCTCCCAACGAATCAAATATGATCGACCGATGGTCGGGCCGATTTTGTTCCAGGTGGGTGACGCGCACATTACTATACATCATTCGCCAACTATCATTTTCCACTAAAATGATCAAGTCTTTCTTCAATGAAACCTCCATGTTGTCTCCTATTCTCCCACATAAACGGGTAGCCTTGGAAACCAATATCTTGCAAGCCCACTTTTGTGAGGTAGTCTGAGAAAGAGGCCATCTCAGTCTCGCTCGCCAGATTTCCTCCTTTCTTCTCATGATCCCCTACAATTTGATTGAAGTCTCCACCATAGATCCATGGTCCCTCCCATTGCGTCGCTAAAATGTCTCAACAACGCCCAGGTATGGTATGTATCTCGCCCTTCTGACCACTCATAGACTCCTTGTAAATCGCCAAACTATTTCTTGTGCCTCTTCAACCTTCACATCAATATAATGAGCATCCCGATCCATACATGTCAAGTTAACATCATCATGCAACCACATACTCAAACCGCTTGCCCTACTACCTCTTGAAACATCACATGACCAACTCTTACCTTTGGAAAATCCAAGTTACATCTCATTTCCTCATTTTCCACTTCCAGTTGTCGCGTCTCCATAAGGAAAATCACCTAGGGGGAAGCCTGACGCAGAAGCGACTTCAGTGCTCTCACTGCTTGTGTGCTTCCAAGATCACGACAGTTATAGCTGATGATCCTCATTTATTTCCAGAAGGGGATAAATTCCCCACACCTTTAGCCAATTTGTTTTTCTTAATTCCCACGTCTTCTTTTTTCTTAGCTTTACCCCGCTTACCTCATCATTATCTTGCAGTGTTTTTTTACCTCCTCCTGGGATGCATTGGCGTTATGGGAGTTGGTACGTCCCCATGCATCACAATAGGTCCCCCCCATCACCTGCTCCCCGTCCTCCTTATCAGCTGCATTATCTAGCTCCTTTTCCACTTCTTTCACACCCTCCTCCTTCCCATCCTCCGCTGGCACCTTAAATCGGTTCTGATTCCCCATTTTCTCATTCTCTTTTGTCCACTCATCTCCCGACGCTGCGGATATCTTTCTCGTCTCTTAACCACCATCCATTCCCCATATATTTGGCCATTTGTCAGATCCACCGGTGTTACTTGCAATTCCTCTCCAATTTCTTCTTCCACCATTTGGTCACGCTGGTAGCACTAGCAGTCTGAAGCCACTTTACCATAATTCGCACAATTCGTGCAAATATTGTACAATCCCTCATATTGGATTAAATAGGTGATACCCTCCACTTTATACTATGACAACAAGAGTTGCTTTAAATCCACTTCTACCACATACCCTTGCAAACTTTCCTCTTACCCCCAGTTTCGTAGCTCTGTCCACCCGTACCGGCTTCCCAATTGTCACCGCAATTCTCATAACAGCTTCTTTATTAATAAACTCGATTGGCAGATTCGGGAGCTGGACCCACACCATAGTGGAGTTAACCATTGTTTTCCACGGGTTAAAACCCTTGAACTAGCGATGAATTGTCAGGTATGTATCCCCTAACATCCATGGCCTTCCCATAGTAGCATACTCGTAGTCCTTCTGATTCCGAAACCGAAGCAGGAAACAACCATTCCTCAGGTTAGATATTTGTATCTCGCCATTCCTTGCTCACATAGAGTTCAATCTACATGAGAGAGGAATAAACGAGACACGCCTGCCAAGCCCCTTCACAACAATGGTCGATCGCCACTCCTTCCTCCATCGGATCTTCTCTGCCGCTATGAATACGATGGGGGCATTTTGGGTCTTAATTATCTTCATCAAGGGTATCATCCTCTTCTTTCTCCGCCTGTGCTACATCTTCCGAATCAGAGTCCGCAATATACCTGTTATCCTCCCATAGCACCTCGCTAAACCTACGACCCATTCCCGCCTTCCAGGTCGTATACTCTTGCGAGCTCTTTCCATCTGTTTCCATCTCTCTCCTCGAACTATTCTCGACCTCCACAGGGTTGCTGCCAAAAATAAGGGGTCGTGCCTTCTTCCTTGGCTGAGTAGTTTCCTTCGCACTCTTACCATCTGAGGAAGACAAGTTGTCAGCCGGACGCCACTTGTATTCGGGGGCTTGCCACTCAATGTCGTCGTCATCGATGGGGAATCACAGATCTAGGGTTTTTTCTTGAGTTTTTTCGTCGCCCGAGAAGTTCGTAATTTACAAATTGTCTAATATGCACAAGTTAATCTCACATAAAATTCAAAAATTGTTTATACCATAAAATAATATTTGGGTAATGAACGAAATAACACAAATATCTTTGGAATATTGTATACAAAAATAGTTGAACTATGATGATAATTAGTTAATATAAATGTCATGTATTTGTAGGAGAGTGGTAACTTTTTGTTACTGTTGGTTCTGGTTTCAAATTATTTCATTTTAAAAAATAGGGTTAATATATTTGTATGGCCTGAACTTTGTACATAATAAACATCCTGTCCAATATTTTCGATCTATAATATCCTGTTCCAAACTATACATAAAAGTAACGAAATCGGCCAAATCGATGTTTGACTGTTATCTTGGACGGTCAAACGCGTTGACTAACGGTCAATGTGCCATGTCACTGCCAAGACAGCAACTTTCACTAAATGTTTTTTGTATTTTCCATATATTACCATTTTTATTTTTTTGTTCATCATTTTGAACAAAAGAAGAAGAAAAAGTAATTTCATTTTGAACCAAGAAAAAAAAAGTAATAGGTGGAAAATACAAAAATATTTGGGTAAATGCCACATTTGATCACTTAGATTAGTTAATTTTGTCATGTTTAGTCACCAGAAAAATTTAATATCAATTTTGGTCACTCAAATTACTGACACATGTCACATTTAGTCATTTTCTTGTTAGCCTCCATCCAAATCCGGCCACTCGAGTTACTGAAACATGTTACATTTAGTTACTCTCCCATTGGTTTCTGTCCAACTCCACGGGAGAGTGACTAAATGTGACCTATTTTCGTAATTCGAGTGACCAAAATTGATATTAAAATTTTCTAGTGACTAAACATGACACAACTTAGTAATCTCAGTTACCAAATGTAACATTTACCGCGTTGACCGTTAGTAAGGGAAACAGCAGGTGGGGCACTCCCAAATGGCCTGAAAGCTTAACTGTAATCCCTGCAAGAATCAGGAATGGGAACCCTTGAAGGAACCACTCCAGACAAGTTTAACGAGTACACAGAGCTATGGCAGAAACGGCTAGGATACTACAAGAGGGTCAACCAACAGCTTGCCCAGCCCGGGCCGTACAGGAAATTACAGGAAATGTGTAATTTGTTTCTGCATCTACAAACGTAAAAGACAGTTGCAGTCCCCAAATTTCACGTTTGAAATTCTGTAATTTCTAAACCCATCAAGTGTGATGTTGCAAAAGGAAACAAACCACAGCAAAATTCAAAAGGAAAGGACCAAGTGGGATGGATTGTACCATACACTACAGCAATCTATTCACCCACTGGCTGCTACTCTCTCAATCGCCTCATGATCAACTGTGATGTTCGAAGCAAGTAAAGCGTGAAGGCTAAATGAACTCCAAGAACAAGGCTTCTTGTTTACTGTTCAGACCAGCTTCATACAAACTCAATGAGCCATCTTCCACAGAGAAAGCACGCCTAGGATATGGTCTCACCTATTCAACAATTAAAGTCCATCCAGCACAAGTGCGGAGTTCAGTCATCATTGACAGCCATTGAAACTAAAGAAAATGAACGCAAATTATATGAAGGCCTTAACAGATAACCACTTACCACTCTGTACGTTCCAGGCTTAACAGCTCTGCCAATGTCAATGAAGTCGAACACACACTAGAAAGGAAAGGAGGAAAATCAGTTGAGTCAAAGATAGAGATACGGATGTATACACAGAAAAGTCTTTTGAAGATTCAGGCACATTACTTTCAGCTTGTCGGATTTGAGAAAGCGGCGGCCATGGCGACTACCATCTGGCATGCGCAGGAGTAGAGTCACTGCATTCTCCTCGTCCACAAGCGGCTCTTCAGGAAGCAATGCTTCTTTTGCAGCAAGCAGCCTCTCCATTCCCTGACATATATAATGATGCATGGTAGATGATTTTTAGACTTTAGTCCATCTTCCGGATGCAGAAATGACAATGGTTTGGCTATGAAACTGCAAGGGTTTTTTTGTTTGTTTGTTTTACAAACTCTCTCCCCCTATTTTCTTGTTCCACATTTTCTTGGATAACTTGCATTTTTGCCTCAGTGATTTCATTGACGGTCTTTTTTTATCAAAGAAGACCAAATTAGATATATTTTAGCAGATCTTTTGATTTCCCTATATGCAATCCCAATGTCATTAAGTTGTACGGTTTTATTGCAGTAAACAGACATCAGAACTAAATTAAAGAAACATACCACGTCATCAAGCATTGTACTTTGGGAGCCTCCTTCTTCAATTGGACTAGATACTTCAGCTTTCTTTGATACTGTCACCTCCTTTTCCTTATCAGCCAGGAGAGAAGCCAGATACTCGTTATCCTGACAATAACATTTCACCAATTCCATAACAATAAGATTATTGAGAGATTAATAGTATGCACAACATGAAAGTCTTTAACACGATGAATAACCTGTTCCTCTCGAAGTGACTGCCGTTCCTTCCGCACGTCAGATAAGGGATTTTGTGCACTTTTTGAACTGACAGATACACTACTTCTGTCCCCAGAAGTGGGCACAACTGATGCATGTTTATGGGAACTTCCTCTATAATTTTGACCAAAAATTGCCGTCTCGAGAAGAATAGCTTCATCAAGCTCCTCAGAAGACATGGCACTCCACTTCACTGGGAAGTGTATTAATTAGTAAAAACATAAATAAGAAGGTTCTTTCTTTCATAGTCAATCGGCCAACTAAAAAACAAGCAATTTGTGTTGGTTTTTCAACCCACCAATTGTTCGTCAACAACTTTCTCTCTTGAGCTCGAGCTCCCATCCTTCACCAAGACACAAGAAGAATTATAAGAAGAAAGTAATAAGTATTTCTAAACTCTCCCATGTATGAACTGATAATCATTTGATTAGTATGTTTACAAGCAAATTGCTGAACTTTTTCCATACATAGCACTGTTTAAAAAAACAATTCCAAAAATAGCACACAGTCCCGAAAAATTCCAAAAAATAGCACATTTTTTCGAAAACTATGAAGAAAACCACACGGATAGGGGGCGGTTTTGGTGACCCCATGGGGCCGGAGCGGTTTGAGTGCAAACCACATCCCCGGGTGCAAAGTTACGTTCATTTGAAGTTTCGGCCGAGGTTAGAAGTTGATCGGAAAAAAAAATTTGGACCAAACCGCAGGTTGGGCAGCAGTTTTGGACTAAACCGCTCCCACCCCGAGCAATTTTCAAAACCGCCCTATAACCATGCGGTTTTCATCGAAAACCGCACCCCCACCTAGCGGTTTTCGTGTAAACCGCAAGGTGGGTTGGCGGTTTTCGAAAAAGAGTGCTATTTTTGAAAATTTTCAGGACTAGGTGCAATTTTTGAATTTTATTTTTTTAAACAGTGCTATTTCTGGAAAAAATCCCCTGGTAACATCATGCTGTTTGCCTCAGTATCTTAACCCACCTGCCAGCTATGGCTACTTCCGGCCCTTTCACTTAGATCATGAGCTCGAACCTGGTCTTTTGCCACTAGCTCACGCATAGCCTTCTCTTCTTCTGCAGTCTAAGGAAAGGTTGTAGTACATGGATCAGGAAATAGATACACAGAAAATGCGAATGTGAAACCACAATAAGGACACACAACCTTCATTGAAAAAGATACTGCACGAGCAAGCTCCTCGTCTTCTAAATGAAGTTCACCCTGAACAACCCCTGCTCTGGATGAGGTTTGGATCTATATGGAGTGCATTGGCGAAAAGAAGGCCATAAGCGGTAACAAAGGTAAGAAGAAGAAGAAGAAGAAGAAGAAGAAGAAGAAGAAGAAGAAGAAGAGAGAGAGAGAGAGAGAAAAGACAACATTAGGGTTCTAAAATGCATTGCAATGGAGCTATTTCATATAATACTAAGACTCTCCCTTACATCCTGTTTTGAAGCCTCAATTGCACGCCTGAGCATTTCTTCTTCCACGTTGTTATCACTCGGATGTGGTTCGTCACATCTCGACATAGTTCCATAAGGATGGACATGATTAGATAGTGAAGCTCCATATGCATCCTGCATTGCAGGCCTTGCTCCTGATTGATAAGGCGGAGGCTCATAACCGCTGGCATAAGGTATTGTGGGAGCTGTTGGTGGTCTACCGCTGTTGAAGACAGAAGCACCAAGTTGGTTCCAGAGATTCCTCCTATAGCTCGGGTCAAGCAGCAACGATGGCCTAAAACTTCGAACAGCAGAAATAACTGGTGAAATGCCTCGTGGCTCATTTGGTACTTGATTTCTAGCATTTACAGGACTGTACAGAGGGAGAGTGCTGGGTACTGCATTCGGGCTGCGAAGGCCAAGCAAAGACCAAAGTTCTTGATAAGCCGCAAGTCGCATTGGAAAAAAGAAACGGAAGTGAGTAAGTAACGTCCAGGTAAAGAAAAGACCATACTTGCAGCTCTCTATTCCGCTGAAATGCGCATTCAGAGCTTCGTCCAGATTGCCTCCGTGTTCCTGATAATAAATTAAACAATTCGGGAAATCCAAAAACATTATGCATTGACCCAGGACGCAAGTACTCACATCTTCCCCAAAAGCCAGGTGCTTAATAGCACATGCATCACTTGTAATTCAAGGGAAAAAACGAAGAATAAAAGGGAAAAGTGCCCAACGTCGAACGGAAGATGAGCATAGGAGAGAAAACCCTAAATCAGAAACTAGCACGTTGCAATCGACAATCCACACGCAGTTAAGACCTATAATAAGTTCATAATGCAGCTAGCGTGCATACAATTTATCACTCAGAATCGAAGTGCTGAATCGTGAAAACCAGATCCACCGACTGAAAGAAGGAAAGTACTGATGAGGGAAATGTACCTCGAGTTTCCGCACGGCGAGTGAGTGGGACGCACCAGTGATTCCGACGAAGGACTCGATCGCATCTGGAGTGGGCCCTGCCATCGGCGGTCTCGATTACCGGAGAACCGGTGTGATGTGGGGAGTTGCGGTGCTTTGTTAGTTGGAGAGAGAGAGAGATGGAATGCAGATGGGCGATGGCAGAGCAGAAGGGATGGCTGTCGAAATCCAACCGCCGCTCCCTGATTTGCGGGGCGACAGTGTACATATATGAAGAGACGCCGCGATGCGGCCACCTTTGTCCTGCGCGCCTTTTTATTCAACTTTATCACCCCAAAAGTGGGGTTAATCGTCCCAACCAATCTTAGTCACTCATGATTCATGAATTCTAGGAAAAAAATTCAAAACTATCACTATTTTTAAAAAAATTTACAAAAATACCCCTCATTTCCAAGAATTTCCAAAAATATCACCGTTTATTAAAAACTGCTCCACTAAGGGGCGGTTAATATAGAAACCGCACAACCAAGCCGCGATTTACCATAGAATCGCCTGGTCAATAAGCGGTTTGCCTATTTTGACAAAAACGCTCTTCCAAAGAGCGGTTTTCATGGCTGCCCTACGACAAAACGCTTCCTCAGGTAGCGGTTACATGTCGACATGGTAAAACGCTCCGCAGAGAAGCGGTTTACCATGTCGACACATAAACCGCTCCCCCCACCAGGTCACCCGACATCCGACATGTCGGCATGTAGGAGGTTGCAGGGGGTGGGGGTTGCATGTATAGGTGTCAAAACATAGCCCGACCCGATTAACCCGCCCGATCAACCCGATCCGCAACCCGAATTGACTAAAAGTCAACAACCCGTAACCCGCCCGACCCGCAACCCGATTGACCCGCAACCCAACTAACCCGCAACCCGACTAACCCGCAACCCGATTAACCCGAACCCGTTTGACCCGCAACCCGACTGACCCGCAACCCGTTTGACCCGAACCCGATTGACCCGAACCCGACTAACCCGTAACCCGACCGACTCAAACCGAATTTCATCTAATCCACTTGAATAATTATCAAAATATACAATACATAGTTTTTCAAAATAAAGTTTTTCATTCTAAACTTATGTAAAATTATTTTTTCATTTCGTATAAGAAATTTTAAAAATATGAAACTCACTTGATATTACGTATTTTAAGAAAATTACAAAAATTGAAACATGAAGGTCACTTGAGATCATGACAATATTAATATAATATATAAATTAAAATTTTGGTTAATTTAACTATTCAATAAAATTATCAATTAAATATAAATAAAGTAAAGTAATGTATTTAATAATTTGATGTTTTTAAAAGAAGAGGGAAATTTTGGTGTATTCAAGTTTTTGGGAAGAGAAAGAAGAGGGAAATTTGGTTCTTTGAATTTTGTAGAAAAGAAACAAGTGGGAATTTTGGTGGTTTTGATATGTGGGAAGAGAAAGAAGTGGGAAAGTTTGATTCTTTTGATTATGAAAGAGAAATAAGGAGGGAAACTTTTGACTTTTCAACTTTTTGTAGAAGGAAAGAAGAGGGTAATTGGTTCTTTCAATTTTATGGAAGAGAAAGAGGAGGGAAATTTGAGTTTTTCTAATGTATGGAAGGAGAAATAAGGAGGGAAATTTTAGTATTTTTGTGAAAAGAAAGAAGGAAACAAATTTGGTGTTTTCAATTTTTTGGTTTTTAATAATTTTAGCTTTTGAAATATGAATCTTTAACTTTTATATGGAGGGCATGACTAGTTAAAATTATTCTTATATGCTTTGAAGGCTAATATGTATATATTTATGCAATTTTTTATGGGCTAATAAATAAATTAACCATTAGTTACAACAATTTATACTAAACTTGATAAGTAATCTTTGACGGTTCGTCGTTTAGGATATAAAGTATATGGTTAGAGTATAAGGTACATATAGTTTAGGGTGTATATGGTTAGGTTATAAGATATTGATAGTTTTGACGGTTCTAAGTTTTTTATTAACATATGTTCACTTGAAGTCATTTGAAGTCTTTAACGGCAGGAGATCCCTTTTTAATTTATGTTTATGGTACGTGGTTAGGGTACAAGGTATGTGGTGTAAAGTATAGGATATATGGTTATGGTATAAAAATTAGCAAATATCACTTTTTATCTATGTTTTGAAAATCAAAGTATGAATTTCATTTTTAAATTAACTATACTAGCAAAATCACAACTCAAGGACATATGGTTAGGGTATAGGTTATGTGGTTAGTGTATAATGTATTGATGGTTTAGGGTATACGATCTACAATATCTACTAACTTAATATTGTTGATTGAGGGTAAAGCTAAGTGTATAAGATATATGCTATTGAGTAAGTTATGATTGAAATCACAATAATTTTACTAAATATGACAACTAATCTTTAATGGTTCAATTTTTAGGATAATTCGAACAATTTTACAAATAACTCGTTTGGCAACAGTTTACTAAAGTTATTTGGGCAATGAATTATTTTGAAATAACTCCTTTTATCACTATGCTTTTGCCAAATACCACACGCCAAATACCAGATTTGCATGGTTATACTAAACGAGATACTTTAATCTAATTACTACTGAATTAATACTAAAATATCAAATAAACAATTAACAGTGTCTTTTGGTTGCAAATATTGATATCACCATTACTATTAGATATAATACTTTACCAATTATGATTAATTACATAACAAGTTTGCAAGTCATACAAATTGATTTAACATTTTGACTAGTTTTGTTCAAAAAAATAAAGTATATATATACGAGGTAGAAATAAATTGGTTAAAAAGTTGAGAAAATATTTTAAATTAGTGTAATAAAATGTGTAAGTTGGTAATGAGTAATGAGTTAAGTTACTTGATGCGCTGGCCCGAACAACCCGAAACCCGACCCGCCCGCAACCCGCCCGACCCAAAACCCGATGAACCCGCAACCCGATTGAATCCGAACCCGATGAACCCGCAACCCGACTAACCCGCAACCCGTTTGAACCCGAACCCGAACCCGATGAACCCGCAACCCGACTAACCCGCAACCCGTTTGAACCCGAACCCGATTGAACCCAACCCGAACCCGCCCGAACCCGCCCGATTGACACCTATAGTTGCATGTCAGACTAAACCCCCCTTGCGGTTTGTAGTGTAAAATTTGCCTATAAAAGGCAGGTCCATAAAACTAAAAATCTTCACTCCACTCCTTCTTCTTCTTCTTCAAATTTTAGTCGTGCACCTTTAAATTATTTAGTTTTTGCGATTACGTTAATTCGTAAGTTTGTTTTGTATTACTTTTCATTGTCCTTTGTGATTCTTATGTTAGTAACTTAATTACAGTTTTATTGTAGATGGCATTCCAAAGATTCACGCTTGGGTTGCGGTGGAATGGTTACACGGAAGAGACCGAAAAGGGTGTAAGTTACGTGGGTGGCAATTTTTATAAAATGAAGGTTCGTACGAGACCGATGCTTGAAGAGCTCTATCAAATGTGCACTCAGATTACCTGCATGAATGGCACTAGAAGAGTTGATTGTATGGTGTATCGATATCCAAACAGACATGGCGGATCGCTGTGGAATGAGGAATTCCTCCTTACCACTCAGGAGGACGTTGATGCCATGGTCCAATTTTGACCACCAATAAAATTAAACAAGCGGAGATGTTCGTTTACACCGAGGTGGTCGAAGGCGGTGTAGGTCATTCTAGAGATGGCCAAACATCTGGTATCCATGGTGGGAGTGTATTATACGAAGATCATCCCCACCAGGAGTACCAAGACTCGAGCTGGAGGCAGGAGTATCATGATGGAACTGGAGGTTATCATCAATCCTTCACATCATATGAAGAAGAAGCTCAATAGGCGGATGGGAACAAACAAGCAGGCTACCAGTACCCACCCGAGTACAACTTCTACCAAAGCGGCGTTAGTTACCACAACTACCATTATGGAGCTGGTGAAGGTGCCTTTTATGATGATCATCAGATGGAAGAAGAGGTCAATCCAAGTCCAGTTAGTGACCCTGAGGTTGAAGAAGAGGAATGCGATGTCAGTACAGACAGCTTCGATCCTCTTGAAGGTGCTGATGCTTCCGGTCTAGATTCAGACGCAGACGGTGATGAGGTACCCCGCGAATCTATCCCGTACTACAATCACATTCCAAACTCCTGGGGCCAATTAGTATATCCTTGTCGACCATCTTTCCCGTGGTACCTCCTCTGACTCACTGGGACTTCAAATAGCAGACATAGCTCACGTTTGAATTGTCTTAGACATTGATCCGGCAAGTGCCACTCCACTATATGGAGGACGATTAGTGGCACTCGGGTGCACCATTGAGCGGGATGCAACGAGAACTTGTGGACGTGATACGCGACGATGCGTTCTGGATACGGATCGAACTTAAGCTATGAAGGTGCAGAAAAATGGACCATTAAGAAACATAATAATATAAGTTGAAAATAAAGCAGGAAGTAATAGTGTATTATGATGGTTACCTCTGCTTTCCAAAGGCGATCCAGCCTCCTACGATACTCCTCCAGCTTATGCGCACTTAGGTTGTCGCATGTTTTTTGACCAAGCCACCTATTAATATGAAAAAGTACATCATGTTAATACGTACTAAAAATTTCTTTATAGAATATTGAGTGGGATAGAGAATATTTACCTACAACCATAAGCTTCATGTCGTAGGGGATGGTCGGGTCCCCATTCCTTATTGGGGTCTACCTTCGGCGCAATCCATGGAAAATGCTCCCAAGCCCAAAATTGGACGATGAACATGGCCCCATCAATCTCCTTCACCGCTCTGGCACTAGCATTACATCCCAATCTCCAAATCATCCCAATCTCCAAATATGATCTTCAACCATGAATTGCTGATTAAACTGTTGGATTTCTAGGGGAAGGAAACTCCTCCGATCATGCCGAGGATTTAGATACGTGCATAAATGTCTTTATCACGCTCCGAACTTTCCTCCGTGAGGGGAATGCCTCCGACCTCAGGGTTGTGCTTACGCCTGATCTCCGCTGTCAACCAAGTGATGGATACTTGGCCCTTGGACAATGGTGGGTTACCATCCGCATCGTGATCTCCCTTTTCTGGCGGACACAACCCGGTGACGGTCCATATAAAATGCTGCCAACCACTCATATTGGCAACAACTTTAGGTGGTGGCAGAGAGTCCACACAAATAACATCGCCATCGATGGGCAAATTGGTTAGGATGGCGATGTCCTTAAGTGTGATGGTGCACTCGCCTTCACAAAA